GTGGGGAGGTTGGTGTGATGCGGGGCTGAGGGGGGGTTGGCGTGACACAGGGCTGGGGTGGGGAGGTTGGTGTGATGCGGGGCTGAGGGGGGGTTGGCGTGACACAGGGCTGGGGTGGGGAGGTTGGTGTGATGCGGGGCCGGGGGTTGGCCTGATGCCAGGGTGGCTGGGTTGGCGTGATGCAGGCCGAGGGGGTTGGAACAGGGGCTTGTGTGACACAGGGCTGGGAGTCCCCCGGGATCCTCATTTCCATAAATCTAACGATACCCCATCCCGTCCAGGCCGTTGGTTGTTTACTTGGGGCCCAACGGTTTAGAATCCCGGCCTGCTCAACGTTCCACTCCGTGTGCAGCGCGCGACCGAGAGAGGTCGGGGGGGTGGGGTGGCGACGGGAGGAGGGAGCGAGCGCTGCGGCCGTGTACAAAGCGCCGCGCCCCCTCGCCCCTAACGCTCTCATTGGCTAGCGTGGTAAAAGCCTAAAGGAGCCGATTGGCTGAGAGCTGGCTGTCGCTGGGCCAGGGCAGAAGGGAGAGGGGGTCAGGGAGCAGAGAGGGGAGAAGGGGTCCCTACAGGGGGACTTTGATGTTGGGCCCTTTTCATGGCCACCCCGTAGCCATCTTGGATTTCAGGGCTGCCCCTTCCCCCCAAACAGATGATCTCCAGACCTGGGTCACGCCTACCACCTCCTGTCATGTCACGCCAACCTCTGTCATGGCCACCCCAGCCTGGGTCACGCCAACCCCCCCAACATCTCCTGTTAGGTCATGCCAACCTCTGTCATGGCCACCCCAGCCTGGGTCATGCCAACCCACCCACCTCTTGTCAGGTCACGCCAACCTCTGTCATGGCCGCCCCACACACAGCCCTCCTCCCCACATGTGTGGCCCTCCTCCATCGCGGCCTCTCTGTCCATCCCTCCCTACACATGGCCAGTGGTGCTGGAACATTTTTAATAGTGGGGGTGCTGAAAGCCAGCCCCCTTAACACTGTGCACCCCGACCCCCAAGCTGAGGCTGGGAGCAGGGCTGCACCACCTCCCACACCCCTAGTTCCCATGCCTATGCACGCGGCCCTTCTCAATCGCACCCTCCCCTCGCCAGCCTTCTCCACCCCTCCCCTCCCCGTTCCCCGCTCCCCACGCTGGCCTTCTCCTCCTTTCCCCTTCCATCCATCCCTCCCCATGCTGGCCTTCTCCTCCCCTCCCTCCCCATCCACCCTCCCCACGCCGGCCTTCTCCACGTCTCCCCTCCCGTCCCCCACTCCCTACACCGGCCTTCTCCTCTCCTCTCTCCGTCCATCCCTCCCCACGCCGGCCTTCTCCTCCCCTCCCCATACATCCGTCCCCAAGACAGGCCTTCTCCCCCCCTCCCTTCCCCGTCCCCCGGTCCCCACACCGGCCTTCACCTCCCCTTCCTTCCCCTCCCCATCCATCCCTCCCCACGCCGGCCTTCTCCACCCCTCCCCTGTGAGTGTGTACATCTCTCCTCCTTTCTGTCCTCCCATCCCCAAGAGCTGTGCAACCGAATCCCGCACCCCAAGACATGTATCTTCCCCCTCCAGCCCCCTCCCTGTACAGCCCCCCACATCTATTCCCCTCCCCATCTAGCCCCCCTGCATCTATCTAGTCCCCACTCCCTCCCAACCAGCCACCCCTCCCCCATCCAGCCCCCACACCTCTCTTCCCCTCCCCTACCCAGCCGCGTCCCATGTACCTATCCCCCCCCATCCAGCCGCCCGCTCTGTATTGCACACGTCCCTGCCCCAGCCCGCCTGTCTGCACGTGTGCCCAGGCTGGGCAGTGCAGGGGGGCTGGATGGGGGGCCAGGCCTGGCCCCCCAGCGCCCCGGCTAAAGGATACAGGAAGGTCGCGGGCGGCTCTTTGTATTCGTGTGTGTGCACGAGGGGGGGACGTGGGCCACATGCCCCCCCCCACCCGCTCTGATTGGCCGGGGCGCTGCACACGCCCGCCCAGCTCCCCCCCAGCTGCACACGCCCGCCCACAGCCCGCACTGCTCCCCCAGCTGCTCCCACCCCCTCACCCCCCCCCCCGCTCCCATCCCTCCCACCTCACCAGCTGCACACGCCCGCCCAGCTCCTCCCCCCCCCCCCCCGCCAGCTGCACACACCCGCCCACAGCACGCACTGCTCCCCCGGC